CGCGTTCTCGGCCGCCAGAGACTCCGCCACAACACCTCCATCATCCGCAGGAGAACAGGACGCCCGCGCATCTGCGCTGTTCGCTCCCTCGAGCGGCTCGATCGGTGTAACCGCGGGAGTCGCCGCTGCACTTGTCTCAGACACGCTACTTTCATCGACAGCGCTCCCTGCTTTAGCTGCATCAATCAGCTCTGTGTTTTTGTTCACTTTATCTGGGCAATTACGACTGAGATGCCCAATTTTCGAACAACCAAAACATTTGATCGTCGTATCAGATGTTGCGAAGACAGCATAATCAAATCCTTCTATTTTAAATTTAAAAACCAGGTCAAGTTCATCTTCGCCATTCTTCAGAATCATAAACACCTGTCTCCTAAAAGACACGAGATGTTTTACTAAAGGCGATTTACATCCGAGCTGAATTTTTTTGATGGGGGAAACTATCTTTCCATAACGGGACAATTCCTGCACAATTATCTCATCTTTCACAAAAGGAGGGACGTTTGAAATCAATATTTTCTTGGCGGGAGTACTCAGAGGAAACACCGGCGTGAGTGAACCTTTGATTACGACACCTTTTTTATACTATTTCGTTCGCTTTCTCAGTAGTGCTAAAAAAAAGCACAAACGCATTATTCATTCGCGAAGCGGACACAATGTTTTCATGACCCACAACATCTCCTACAGCCAAACAAACATCTTCCACGTTAGCGTTTGAATCAATCTTCACTCCATGACGCCGAGTTAAATTTTCAAAAGCCATTGTGTTTGGATTCGCCATGCTTCCCAGCAAATGCTGGAAGCAGACTATCCTCACAAAAACAAAACAAAATACCTCAACAACAAACAAAAAAAAAAACACAAACAGAAAACACTTACAAGAAAAAAGAAAAAGTTTGAAAAAAGCACTCTTACCAGCCACAGTCGGCTACCACTCACTTCCACACTCACCACGCTCCGCCCACTCACTCCCAGCATGCACTCGAGAGAGAGAGAGAGAGAGAGAGAGAGAGAGAGAGAGAGAGCTTGAGTGATCGAATGGAATTCAAGCATAGGCCTAGTTCAGGTAGACCACTGATCGCTAAACAATATCAGCTGACCCTCAGCTGATTTGTTACTCCACCTACTCTAATCACCTATAGTATTTAAGGTCATTCAACGAATGCTCCGCAGTCTGTCGCACAGACATTTACACCCACCTCTACCCCTTCACCTCCTAGCATCTTCATAATAGAGCATTGGATTCTGTATATAAACTCTATTTACGTAATCATTGTATCTCCTTCTGTAACATATGCTAAGAAACATTTGGTTAGTAAAAAAGCTTGGGGGATTTGTGTCTCAAGGATGTATCACAAGCTCTCTAGTATGGCAGCTCGAGCACCTGAGCCTAAGCATCTCGCCAAATCCAAAGATTGTCAATAAATTTCATTCTCAAAGGGGTCCTGACTGAAATTTTGTAAAATGCAATAAAATCAGGAATCTGTGATTTGTTTACTCTCTTTAACCTTTATTTATCGGAAAAAAAAGTTCAAAGAAAAGCTTTTCAAAGTTTTCACTGACGTGAAAGTGTATTTTGTAAATAGAAACAAATTTTGATTTGGATGGCTGCTCCACACTCCAAAAAAGTTGTGTCACATCACCTTTCCTTTTAATTAGACTTTTTAAATGTTAAAAAAATTCGGATACTAATTCCCAATCTCACCTGATACAAGACAGCTGCTCAACAGTCTGTGGTCATCGTTGTCTAATTGTCCTTTTCATGATAGACCATACATTTTCATTAAGCGACAGATCTGGACCGCAGGCAGGCAATCAAGGACATCCACTCTATGGCGTTGAGTGTCTAGAAACCACTCAGTTTTAGCATGTGCAGAATGTCATCTTGAAGTCATCTTGATGCCATTAAATGTCTCTGTACAATCCCAATATATGCCAACACATCAGTGGTACCTTCACACATTTGCAAGTCACCCATGCCATTTGCACTGATGCACCCCATTCCTTGACAGATGTTTGCTTTTGTAGCTGTCACTGATGCAACTCTGGATGGTCCCTTTCATCTTTGGGACTAAGAACTCAATGTCTGTTTTTCCCAAAAACAAGCTGAAATGTGGACTCATCTGACTGCAGCACAGTCAGATGTTTTGGATCATCTGAGATTTTGGAGCATCTGAGATGAGCTCAGGCCAAGAGAACTCGCCGGCATCCCCGTATAGAACTGACGTATAGCTTTCTCCTTGCATAACAGAGATTCAAGTTGCATTTGTTGATGCAGCAGCAGACTGCAGTGATAAGGGTTTTCCAAAGTACCCCCGAGCCCATGTGGCTGTATTTAACAGAGTAGCATGACAGTTTATCATGCAATGCCATCTGAGGGCTCAAAGGTCATGCACATTCAACAGAGGTTTCCTGCCTTGCCCTACATGTACTGATATTTCTCTAGATTCCCTGAATCTTTTCACAATAGTATGTATGGTAGAAGGTGAAAGACATCAATTCTTTGCAGTCTTGCATTTAGAAATGTGATTTTTGAATTGTTTGACAATTCTCTCATGATATTTGGCACAAAGTGATGCGTCATGTCCCATCTTAGCTTGCAAAGACTGAGATGCTCCTTTTACACTCAATCACAATACGCTCCCCGATTATCAATTCAAATACTTATTGTGGACTGTTTCAAAAGAGTTTGACTCATATATTCTATAAGCTTTTCACTTTTATTTTGCCTCTGTCCCAAATTTTGTGTTGCTGCCATCAACATTTAAATTTGTTTCTATTTACAAAGTACACTTAAATTGGTCAGTGAAAACTTTGAAAATATTTTCTTTGTACATTTGTCAGTTAAACAAAGGTTAAAGAGAATTAACAAATCACAGATTCTTGATTGTATTGCATTTTACAAAATGTCCCAACTTTTCTGGAAATGGGTTTTGTATATATCATTTATTTATTTAAAAATAAAACATGTTCGCTCATAATCTTCAAATAATTTTAATTTGCCGATCTCCTTACATGACATCTCCTCTCTGATGAGAACACTCTCTCACTCCCAACTCATCACATATGGACACTTGGTTAGGACCCCTTGGCTTTTTAACGCATAAGGTATACCTTTAGCGTCATTTTTTTTACGTGCAGGGTACTCCATTCCTTTCAGTTTTTTGCCTTATGTGGTAGATTAAGACATTTAATTATTTGTATGCATTTGTAAAAGTTGAAATAATTTTATAAATATTAATACTTTCATATATTTTTGCAATAAATACCTGTGACTGTACTTTTATTAACCCCAATCCCAACCCTACCAATTGGGGTTAATAAAAGTACAGTCACATGTATTTATTGGAAAAACTGACCAGAAAAAAAAAAAAACAGTATAAAAGTATTACAAATAAGTATCTTGCATTCCAAGACCTTTGAAGCTATACGATATCTTTATGTGAAGAACAGAGTGGAACTTAAGGTTTTAATAGCTGAAAATGATCCTGCTTCATGAATGCATACTGGCTCTGTTCCAAATGGCACCTTAAACACTTGCGGTCTTCCTACGAGTCCACATTTCCGTGACATAATGCCGCTTTGACTGTCGTTCCTTGTCCTGTCCAGTGCAGCCTTGGCAAAAGTGTGCATCAAGGGCGCTTATTGACCGCAAAGCTTGGGAGCACCCTTCTGAAACCTAAAATGACTAATGGGACACCCTACGGTCTTAAAGGACATGCGCACGTGGCAGCCCGAAAGTGTATATGTAGTGTGTAATTTGGGACAGGGCCACTGTCATACCTCATTCAAAAGATACACTCAAACATTAGCATGATGCAATCGGTCACAAGACACACTAGAGCCAATACCATTTCGCTTTCAAAGCAGACATTGTGCTTCTTATGGCAGCAATTTTTGAATGTGTCAACAGGATCTGAGCTTTACGTCGGATGGAGACTGATCGCTTTTGGGTCTCACAAATCAATCATTTGGCCTAGGAACACTTGAAATATTTTTACTTTTTGAATCAATTGTAACTGTTATATTCTGTGTTTTATATTATATAATATACAAATGGTTAGGTGGGGTTACATGCTCAAAATGCCTAAATATTGTAATGTAAATAAAATTATGTAAACATAAATGTCATAGTGGAAAAATTATAACCAAATAGATAATTTCATCATGAATTAATACATTATCATGCTTATTGCTTCTGTGTATTGACGCCAACATTTTCTCTTCGAAAGCAATGGAGTACACTGCACAACGAAAAATGCTAAAAGGATGCCCTGTGTGTTAAAAAGTGACGCCGTAATGTCCAGTAGCCAGATAAGTTTTAACTTTTCCCTTCCAGCAATCTGTCAGTCACTTGAAATAGTCGCAGCAATTAGCAAACAACAACAATGATCCATTCAATTTCCGATGGACAAAATCAATCCTACATGACATTTTTACATGTTCGATAAACCATTTCACTTGCATACACATCACTATATGAAAGAAAGGATTAACGTAATTTCTGTTTCACATCAACTTTAAAATGTTCAGTTATGTTTGTCTAATTATTTTGTGCACTGAGTTTCAGCCCTCTGCACCTAACTGTGTGATTATATAAGTGATACAAGCAAAGTGGATGTAATGGTAAATATGATGTACACACTGTGCCACTTTAGTGAAGTACTGAAGTACAAAACTCAAATCTAATTGAGCTTGACGATGACACCACTGTTTTCTGTAGATCTAGCTGCCTTATAGACAATTTGCATTCTTCTGTAGAGCTACTTTACAGTGGAATTTGTCTCATATATAATGAAGTTTGCATTTGATGGTAATTTTCCTGTTTATTACTGTGAAGCTGCTTGGAAACAATCAATTATATAAAGCACCATATAAATAAAGGTGATTTCAATTACTCTGTAACACAGCAATGTTAAAGCACACACTGCATTTTAAAAGCTTTTTGCTTCTAAATTGTCAGGCAAATATTGATGTTTTTTTTTTAATTCTCGTTTTAGGGATCCAAATCAACCAGTTCCACAGGACACCAAATTCATCCACACAAAGCCTAACCGTTTCGAGGAAGTGGCCTGGTCTAAATACAACCCCAAAGACCAGCTCTACTTACACATTGGGCTGAAGCCAAGGGTGAGAGATCACTATCGCGCAACTAAGGTTGCTTTCTGGTTAGAGCTGGTACCTCATCTTCATAACATCAATGAACTTTTTCAATATGTCTCGACCACGACTAAGATACCTCCTCAGGATACTACACCATTCCCATACACTAAGAGACTAGGTAAAACATGGCCGTCCACTACACGTCATCCTGGTGTTCCTCCCGCCAACACCAAACAAACTACAGACCAGCGTAAAGGCAATGATCTGGGTGACGACTCAGCGGTGGTTATCGAGACAAAGCGAGATTACTCTACTGAGCTCAGTGTGACCATCGCGGTGGGTGCATCTCTCCTCTTCCTCAACATTCTGGCCTTTGCAGCACTTTACTACAAGAAGGATAAGCGTCGTCACGAATCCAACCGACGAGGGCCCAGCCCGCAGAGGAACTCTGCTCCGGCTAATGTGGTGGCTAACACTAATGACATAGCACATTTGCAGAGCGAGGAGCTGATGTCACTTCAGATGAAACAGCAGCAGATGGAGCATGAGCACCATCATGAGTGCGATTCACCACAGGCCCACGATACTCTTCGTCTCACCTGCCCGGCCGATTATACGCTTACTCTGCGACGTTCGCCCGATGACATCCCGCTCATGACGCCAAGTACCATAACAATGATTCCTAACTCTCTGGCCGGAATGCAGCCCCTGCACAATTTCAACACTTTTGGAGGTAGTCAGAACAGTACCAACCTGCCCCATGGGCACTCCACCACCAGGGTATAGCTTCTGAAAGATCCTTTTCAGAACTAATGGACATGGTCTGCTAAGGCATTGGTGGTTAAGGACCTTTGTTTGTCATGGCAAACTGTGCTGACTTTGTTCCACTTTGAGACTTATCATGGTGGATGAGATGTTATTTTCCTATGAAGTCTTCTTGCAGAATATATCAAAGTCAAAAATGACCTACTTGCGAAAAAAATGAATGTTACTAAAGTAATACTTTATTTGGAGCCAAGCTTGTTAAAGGCAGGGGACTTTACACCAAAAGACAAGAACTCTTTCTGAAGGACTTTTTTGCTTGCATAGACAATATACACACAAACGACAGAGGTTAAAGGATCTAACAAAGCTTTGTTTGTGCCATAACATATGTCATATACCAAGAGCAACAATGAGAGCAATGTTATTATGTGAGAATTATATTTCAGACGAACACATTAATATTATTTTCTGAGAGTTTTGTCACATACCGAACATGTGGACTGATCTCAAAAATCCCAGCCTGAAATGTAATAATGACAAAATTTGTAAAAGTGACAACATGTAAATACTTGTGAATCAAATACAAATATTAAAATAATTACAAAAGCTTTTATTGTTGTTTAGTTCAAAATATGACTATTAATGAGCTTACGCTTTCGTTAAGGTGCGTGTAAATAAATCAGTCATTATCTTTTCTTTTTCTTTTTGAAATCATGTCTGTGCTAAACACCCTTTACACCTGAAAAAGAAATAAAAGAGAGGACAGCATTCTTATTCCAAAGCCTCTAAATATCCATTTCAGTCATTTGAGTGTTCCTTTGTCCCGATGTTTGACGAATATTGCATGTTTGACTGCTACTTTACATTTGACAAACCCATACCGTGACCCCATACAGATGTTAAAAATGAAAGACTGCATCTAATTACATTACAGAGCTGGGTGAATTTGCCTATTTAAGCTGTTCATAGACTGGTTGTAATGTTTTTTTTTATCATTTGGGGGTTTGATGAAGGAGGGTGGACTAGATGTAAATCGAGCAACTTCTACCCACATCCCAAATGCATTTGTTTTACTGCATACATCTCTCTTTTTATTATTATTATTCTGTATCATCACTGCCTGAGCTTCAGATGTGACCAGCATTGTATAATTAAAAATATCTATAAATAAATAACACAGGCAGTGGATTTGGGTATCTATATTAGTTGGATATGTTTGTAAAGAAGTATATGTTAGATATTTCTATTCGTAACATGCTAGCAATATATAAAGTATTGTGCCAGGCTTGTGATATTTTGGGTTAAAACACAAGTGAATGAGTGTAGATAAAAATAATTATGATTACTATAAATAAATACAAACAAACAAACAAACAAAAAAAATAACCCTGATATCTTTCAGTTCTGCATCCTATAACAAAGATGTTGAAAGCGCAGGAGAGAATTTAAACATAAATTAATAAATTAGTTCATAAAGTTACATTTGTATATTATATCAGTTCATGATATAAGTTAACCCTGGTTCTTGAACTGTCAGTACAACAAGGGTCAAATGTAGGATTCTAAATAATAGTTTGTCTTATATTGTTTGCAGTTTTTGCCTTAAGTGATAGATATTTCTGGCTGGACACCTGTATAAAATTTTTCTGCCGCATTTTTAATAAAATATCACAGTATTTTCTAAAAATGTGTCTTCAGATTTATTTGACTTTGATGAAACCGTGCACCCAGGAAGACGATAACAATGTGAAGCTGTTTCCTTTCACAATAACCACACATTTTAGCATTAGTAAAAAATTTATTCTATTTAAAATGCAAAATATACTTGCCTTCTTATAATTGATAAGCCCATTCAAATTATGTCCTACTCTATTTTGTGTTTTAAATTACAGCTTGTGGTTAACTTGATATTTACCATTCTAAAGGCTATAGCACTTCGATTTTTTTTATCCCAGTGCACATCTTGTTCATTTTAGATGATCACTATTTGAAAATGATTCATTTTTGTGGTTGTTACAAGATAAACTGATGGCCTCTGTTCTTTGAAAAGTTCACAATAATGTCAAGCAAATCCGAATCAATTAGACAACAGGGGGGAGAAATCTCACTCATGCTCACCCTTGCTTTCTTTAACTTCCCTCCTATCATATTCTCATTTAAGAAGTAAAGCCTTTCAATGAGACATAGGTCCTGCGTAACCTTGTCTTACCAAAACATCCTACATGAAACAAAATCATATTCTTTAGTCATTTGCTCCTATATCAAACTATGACAGCTGAGAACAAATAAACAAACGTGAAAGCCTGTTATTCAATTTCCATTCCCCCATCCGTCTTGACAAGTGATGTGAACAATATTTCTCATTAACATTCTATGAATATACAAACAGCTCTGCTGTTCTTGTCCCCTGTCCTTCAGCTTCAGTCAAGTCTTATTTTTTTTATCTAGAAGTTGTCTTAGCTTTTGAATAACATTGCTAGATGCACACACGTTTTTTAAACGACTGATCAGCTGTGCTGCACATAGTCCACAAATATTTTTTTTCTACTGCCAGGTCATCTGTTCATGTGCCAGAGCAATCCTCATTTTCCAATTTGCAATTCCTTTTGTTCAACACCCAACTCAGATTTTGAGATAAGGTGGGATTTAGAATGGCATGAATTGGTAAAGCCTTCCATTTTCCTTTAGCATTTCTGAATGTATGTATTGTGATATTGAAGTATTAAGTGTGTAGCATTGTAAAAGAAAACGGAATAGTGCTACAGCAGTAATGTCTTAGTTGCATTACCTGTAAATATGGAATAACCATCACAGGTGCTTTTAGAGCAGGGGTGGGCAACTCTGGCCCTCAAGAACCACTTTCCTTCAGAGTTTAGCTCCAGTGCTAATCAAACACTCCTGAACAAGCTAATCAAGTTCTTCAGGATTACTAAGCTGCGTATAACTCCACTTTTAGACATACACTCACAAACTTCCCTAAGCACTTCCCCTTGGGGGAATCCCTACCGCCATTTTGAAGTGCATTCAACTTAGTCAAGTGGATGAGGGAAGTTTATTTGGACAATTTCAATTTCAATTTTGACAGCGAGACTATTAAACATGTACACTTCAGACAGATCCATAGACCAATGCCCCATGATTGTGACATCACAGTAGATCGCGCTTAATTTAGACCGACCCCACACAATCAAGTGTATGATATTGGAGTTATTTGGTATTCAACTGCATTTAATACTTGTAGCTACCTTAAGCTACCTTAAATTATAGTTTATTGTATTGTTATAATTTTTATTTGTGTATTTTTTATATTTGATAGTTAATATAAATATTTGAATATATTTAATATTTGTTAATATTTCATTTTTAACAGCCCAAGCATGCATACAGGGTGCATGAAACAAATTCATAAGGAAAAAATAAACTAAAAAACAAATCAGCTCCATAGCAGATTCCAAGTTATCAAGGGTTTAGTTTGTTTCATTTAAACACATTTCAAGGGTTCCGCCAGTAGTGGGCACTCATGCAATGTAAGCAATGATGTACATCCCAGTGAACAAGAAGGAGGGAAGTTAGCAAGGGAAGGGCACATAAAATTGGACTCAAACGCAGCCTAGAAAGCTACAGGCAGATGAGCTTGATCAGGGTTGGGTAAAGTGAATCTCAAGGGCCAGAATTCCCTAGCCCTGCTTTAGAGAGGATTTCAAGAAGTGAACAGTTGTTGTTGTTTTTTTTTAATTCCCCCTTTCTCGGATTAATTTAAAATGTGGAAAAACCAGAGGTAAATATCACCATTTTCTCAACGGGGACTTTTATTTTGTAGCATGTTTAATTTCCTTACTTAATGGTTGTATATGCCATACTAATACTTAAATAAGGAGAGCAGGGTGAAGGGAGAAGAAATCAGTCTCGCTGTTCTTACTTCATTGAGCTCTCAACTCAGAGTTTATCAACTCTGGCAATCTAGCCATTGGAACTTCAGAACACTAAATTGAATTCTAAATTGTTTAGTCAAAGCAACAGACTTTGTGATTGGTTACGATAGCTGGTTGAGAAAAAAAAAACTATACATATGGAACTTAAAGCAACTATACATCAAATTGAGCCTTCTATGTTTCCCTGTAGGAATCAGCATGGAGTGCATCTTGAGGTGCAATAAATTGCTCTGAAATTCTTCCACTCACTTTTATTGCTGTTATTGATCTTTCCTAAAATGATGTTAATAAATTAGCTTTTGACTTAAAACTGAAGTGACAGGAGAAAAATCAAAAGCTTAAATAGTTATTTGCAGTTACCCAGGCATGATACATGTCCCTACGTTCCATGTCGAGTCTTTAAAGTCCCCCTGTAGTCAAAAACGTAACCCCTTAAAACTCATCTTTGATCACCAAAATTACATATTTAATGTTTTCTTCATGCCTTAACATAGCTTGAATGTAACACCCTTGCCTTATTTAGTATACACGGTTCTATGAATATGCAAATTAGCCCCGCCTCCACTCACTCACACCAGCTCAGAGATCCACTCATTGACGATCACATGTTGACGTGATTGGTAACAATGTAGTTTGTGACGTCAGAAACACCAGCGATTTCAAACTGTGTTTTTGAGTCTGTCTTTGGTTCACTGCAGTTTTAAGTAGAAAATATTTAGCAAATGGTGTTGACTAATAAATTTGCACATGGTTCGTCATAAAGCGTATTAAAAACATGAAACTTTGTCATGAAACTTTAGATGACGCAGGCTGATAGGTCCTTAATTTATTAGCAATCACGTTGTTATCTACATAGTGCAGCTGATTGGTCGCTGTTGCATCAGCAGCCAATGAGCTTGCTGCTCAACATTCAAATACTTGGCATTGTTTGCTGTTAGTAGTCTGCAGCATGCTTCAGAAACCCTCCACCTTGCCCAGCTCCACCTGTATAGATCTGCTACAGGGGTTATTTAATGTATGTTAAATGTGCAGCAGCAGTATGTTATATCTAGATGCTCACAGCAGCATGTCTGCAAATGTATTGGCAGTAGCAAGTCTGTTCTCTGCCCTGCTGCAGCAGCAGCAGCGTTGCAGATCTATTCCACCAAGACCAAATACATTACCATTGCCATATACATTACCATGTCAATCTCTCCGAGAGTTGGCATGACAGAACTGGAATATAATGGATTCTTTGGACCTAGTCATTCTACCAGCAAATAGCAGGCTATGACACCTTGTGCCTTTGTAATGTACTTCTTGTTTAATAGATACTTTTCAAAAACTAAACGAACAAGCTACTACTGTATTTTCCTGTACCTGTAAAAGATATTAAATTTTGTATGTTCCCCATGCACATACTATTATTATATAACATATACTGCCGTCGCATCATCCAGGTGGATGCTGCACATTGGTGGTGGTTGAGGAGATTCCCCCTTCTATGTAAAGCGCTTTGAGTGCTGAGAAAAGCGCTATATAAATGTAATGAATTATTAAAATGAATTATTACTTATTTTAGTTATTACAATAACTGGGTAATAACTAACACTGAACCTATCCCCAACCTTAACCCATGTTACCTTATATTAACCAGTACTTTCTTAGGTAAGTACACTATAAATACATGTAAGTGTGCGTATTGTAAACTAAAGTGCAACCATCATATTCAGCTACAAATAATTAGATATCAAGTATGTGTAGTTTCTTTAGAATTACACAGCAATTGCATTGTAGCTATATTGTAATTACAATGTAATTCCACCAAATTACATTAACTATAATTTATAGTGTGACACGATGAGAGAGGCATTTGAAATAAAAAGAAAACTCTAAAGATACAATATAATTTTAGACAATACCACATTTATTTATAGTAACCATCAGATTGACATTATATCCAAAATAAACTATTTTTACTCCCTCAAATCTTGTT